GGTTAACCAGTGACCCTAATCTTTGGAGCTGTCACACATGTTCTTCTTTTCCATTCAGATTTTAAGTGCTTTTTTTTGAGTTTTCAATGTTTTTAGTCTGATTTTGCTTTTCTTTTGTCCCTCCAGGTATGCAACAGCTGCCCCAAACTGTTTGCTAAGCCACATCACTTACTTCCTCCAAATAACCACTTCCTCTATCTGCTAGCAAGACCATGAGAAGACTGCCCATGTTTACAGAATCAATGAACTATTTGCACATATAACAAACTAATCCTTTCTTTTTCCCCATTCCCTCTATGGTGTTTGTGCTTCCTTTCTCCTTTTGATCTTCTTTTGACTCCCTTCTGCTGTTGTGTTTGGGTGCTGGCTGTTCTGGGCCAGGACAGTTGTGCTGCATGGTCCATGAGACACAAGAAACCTGTCTCCAAGTTCCTGAGAAGCAATATGTTTACCAATCAGTAACGAATCCAAATCCATGTAAAGCTAGCAGCAGGAACAAGCGGTATGTCAAATTGTTGTCTACTGGAAGTCTTTTGCACAGTTTGTCTAGGAAAAGGATGCAGAATTCTTAGAATAACGAAGCCTCTTGGCCAAACTTGAAGATAACCCTGCTCTAAACTGGGGGTTGGACCAGATGGCCTCCAGAGGCCCCTTCCAAGCTAAATGTTTCTGCAAATCTGCAGGTTTATATCCTGTTCAAACATTGCTAAGTTTAACAGTGCTGTGCAAATGCGGGTTCTTGCATCCACTAAACCCCAACCATGACCTGAGATAGTTTCTCTTTGTAAAAATCCACTGTAGGGTCCCATGATTTACCTGTTATCTGAAATACGTTGTAAATACAAGTGGAAGGAGGAGGACTGTGTCAAGGGACCTGTAACGTTATGAAGAGCTTCAGAAATGGAGAATTTGGGATGGATTTTCCCTTATTTTCTGTTCTTCCCTCTATGGCCAAGCTTGCATTCCTCGTTCTCTGAGGTTTGTGCAGTTTAACAACGATCAGTGTATGACCACTGACTCTGCTGGAGTTTGTGACAAAAGCCAAAAGATTACTTTGGTGGTTTGGGAGTTACAGTAGATGACTTGTAGAACTTAAACATACTGTCAGAATCTTGTTACCCTGGTGAAGAGGTAGCACATTGAAGGATGCACAGAGGACCAAAAAAGATGGCTGTACTTACCTTCTACTGCACGTTTTTGCAACATCTATTAGGGCAGAGATACTCCTAAAGCAGTCTAGGGGAATTCAGGGCAACTCAGCAGGACAGGCCAAGGGGAATGGCTTGAACCTGCCAGAGGAGACTGAGATGAGCTCTTAGGCAGAAGCTCTTCCCTGTGAGGGTGCTGAGGCGCTGGCACAGGGTGCCCAGAGAAGCTGTGGCTGCCCCATCCCTGGCAGTGCTCAAGGCCAGGTTGGACACAGGGGCTTGGAGCAAGCTGCTCTAGTGGAAGGTGTCCCTGCCTGTGGCAGGGGTTGGAGCTGGATGAGCTGTAAGGTCCTTTCCAACCCAAACAATTCTGTGATTCTATGACAGTAAGTTATGTGTGATATTTTTCTCAGTCCCTGAAATGGCACCTTCACAACAAGGACTGGGGACATGATGGTTATCTCCAAGGATGCCCTCCCAGCAGCTGATTGCTATGTCTCCTTGAGGGACTCCAGGCCAGTCAGAAGGGTCTCCATAAGCCCCTCGATTGTTTCTGACCATGTTCTTATCCATCCACATGTGCAGTTGCAGAAATAAAGGCTCTGCTACACAGACTACATGTCTGAGCACCTTTGGCTCAGATACCTCTCAAACCCAAGAAAGGGACATGTTATATTAGTGGTAGCATCAGAACTTCATGGCTGAAAGAGCGACAGGATGGAAAAACAGTAGCAAGCACTCTGAACTTTACCTTCCCCGAGGAAGGATGTCAGGTGGTGTCTTCTTGTAGAATCAGGAAGCTATAAATGTTGGGTAATAAATCAAACACAGTCGTGGAATTTAGGGAAGTAAGAGCAGTGAGGGAGCATGTTTGGTATTGACTTACTGAAGGGACAGATTGAGCTGCTGAGCTACACCCTTCAGCGTCTCTGCCTATAAATTGTTGTGCCCTCCTGTATGAGCAGCTCCAAGAAGATGGCTGCTATCATGATCTTCTCTTGGATGGTAATGATATGCCTTCAAATTCAGGTGGATGCAGGTAAAGAGTCTCACTTCTGATCACCTTCATGGCTATATTTTACATCAAGCTAATATTGAGATTTAAGGGTAAAAGAGGATTTCCCAGCACAGCTTATCTCTGTCAAAAACCATGAGCTAGTCAAACCCACGAGCTAAGCCAATCAAGCATTATAGCCATTAATTCAAAATCTTTTCTTGAAACTGCTTAATGCATTTAAATTATTGTTCTCACTATTTTTTTGTGAAGCGCCTGGTAAAGGGAATTCAAATCAATGTAGTGTAAAGCCAATGATCTAATATTCTGATTCTTTGTGTTGGCATAATGGATGTAAAGACTAATCTCTATTTTCTGGATGAAATGCATGCCTATGTTGAAGTGTGAAGTGCTCTTTGAACCATGTCTTTTGTATTTAATGATGTTGTTAGGGCTAACACATTGGTGTTTAACAAAAGAGTGCCTTAGATTAAACAAAGTATGGCACATATCCCTGTTCCCTTTATTATTGTCATTATTAGAATGTAATAGGAATTACTGTAATTTTATATTATTCTATTTTCCCATAGTCTAATTCCTAGCCAGGGAATGGATAAAGATTAAAAGTATTTGCCATTGCTGTCGTCTTTCCATCCGTTCCTATTTCAGATGTAAAGTTCTGAAATGAACTTCACTTGGACTAATGAACCAAATCAAATGACTAAAAGAAACAACTATTCAGGGCTTTTTCCAGGCTCAGGTTTTTGATGGTCTTGTTATTTACTCCCCCCATAAACATTTCATGTGCAATTAGTGATATTGAAAACTACGGTGGAATGTTAATATTGAGCTGGAAGATACTGTTTAGCCCTTTCGTTTCCATCTAATTAATCTGGATTTAAAGCCTTGCGTGCATGAGGAGCAGTGTGGTGGGATGTGTCAGAAAGTGGTCAGAAAACTGCCTTTTCTGAAGGACAGTCCCCCAGTTAAAGTGGACTTGTACCATAGAATCCCGGCCTGGTTTGGGCTGGAATGGACCTTAAAGCTCACCCAGTTCCAACCCCTGCCACAGGCAGGGACCCCTTCCACTGGAGCAGCTTGCTCCAAGCCCCTGTGTCCAACCTGGGCTTGAACACTGCCAGGGATGGGGCAGCCACAGCTTCTCTGGGCACCCTGTGCCAGCGCCTCAGCACCCTCACAGGGAAGAGCTTCTGCCTAAGAGCTCATCTCAGTCTCCCCTCTTAACAGTGCATGCTCCCTGCCAAAGGACACCTACATCCTTCTGAAATACAGTGTTCAATATCCTGCTTCAACAAGGGCCTGGAATTGTCTGAATGTAGCTGAGCTGGAATGAGGCAATTCCTTAAAACCCTTTGCATAATCCTGTGATGACATTTGGAGAGTTATCAGCCCTGGTGCAGAAAGCTAATGGTGGTCTACACACGGTCCTTCTGCCAGGGTTTGAATAACCCCACAAAGCCTTATCTCAGAAAACCTAAATCTCTAGGGTTTAGATGAGATCGCCTTTCTTGGCCTGCCAGAACCCTGTCCCATGGGACAGCTTCAATCTGTTGGTGCCACCTGGAGGGCTCTCCATCAAGTGTCCTGTGCAGGACACTTAGCAGGGAAAACCCTTCTTTGACCCGGAGTCTGTGTCACCAGCTGTGGTCAGCAGCATGGTATGGAGGAAATAAGCGGTGTTGGAAGGTGAGGGGAACAAGAGTAGCCTACATGTGGTGGGAATGTGAGCAAAACCTGTCACAGGTAGCTTTTGGAGACCCCCTGTCTGCAGCTGTGTAGAATGAAGGAAGACAATGGGATGTGCAGATCCTGTCACTGGCTTTGCTCTGACCATCTCCCCAGATAGCTTTCTGTCATCTTCATCTCTGTTAAGAGCTTTGGGTAACTGTTGTTCTTGGTATGGAAAAAGGGAGGAGGAGGCAGCTGTTCACAGCCTATTCACATGTAAGAAGTAAAGCCATCAATTTCTGATCAGATCAGGTAAAACCATCAAGATACACTGCTCAAAGCAAACAGAGAGGGACTCTTCTCACTTCAAGGGCACCTGAACCTCTCTGGGTCAGCTGCAGGTTTTGGTGCGTTCACAAGGATCTTTGATGATTAATAGAGGAGAAAAGCTGCTGAGGTTTACTAAAATAGAAAGAAACCTGGATCTGAAGTTTGTCAGCTGCAAATTGCTATGAGCTGAGACAGCGTTTGAGGAAGTTTCCAATCATATTTGCCTTATTGACTTCCCCATATGGCATCATGTGTGGTTTTTATTCTTCTCCAGCAGAAACCACAAGCGCAGCACCACCAACAATCCCAACAACACTTGAGACCACTACTTGTAAGTAGAATTTATCATGTTTTTACTTTATATGATAGTGATAGCTTTATATTGTTGCTATTATATTCATTCTTGGGAAGAAATCCATATGATTAAAAAGCTCATGTTTTTCTTCATACTGGTACTGATGTGAATACAAAATTATTTGGGAGTTGGGATTTCAGGGGTGGCTTTGCCTGCATCCTTGCTAGAAAGAAAATTATCTTCTGTTGCTTATGCCCTTCACTGGGGACTTAACTTGACTCACTGGGGAAAAGGTAAAGCACATTGATGGTTCCCAAAGGATTTGTCCTAATTTCCTTGTTCTCTATGTGGTTTTCCTCTGCTTCTTTTCCTCCACAGATGCAGTCATAGTTGACGGTGAGTCTGTCTGCCAGGGCCTTCATCATGACCCCAGGCATGGGGATGTACACCCCTACTGCTGAGCCAGCCTCCCTGTCACCCACTATGACCCCCTGAGAAGGTGCTGCTGGCTCTGAGCTGTGCTGTTGGGTGTTGGGGGGCAGCCATGCCCAGGGAGGATGTGGGAGCCTCCTGTCCAACCAATATCACTGCCTGGAACCAGAGCACTGCTGTCCTGACCAAGGGTTTTCTGTCTCCCAAAGAGGTGTTCCTGCAGCTGACTGATGGGCCCAACAGATGTGCAGGCAACGTGGAAGTCTTCTACCTTGAAAGCTGGGGTGAAGTGTGTGGGTACCTGTGGGACATGGAAGAAGCCAAGGTGGTGTGCAGGCAGCTTGGCTGTGGCTCACCTCTTAGTGTGATGGTGTATTTCCCTTCCTACTTGTACCAGTACCTGATGACGGAGGTGGATTGTGAAGGCTCTGAAGACTATCTGTGGCACTGCCCTTTCAGGGAATCCTACTCTGTTACCATGGGGCAGCTTCTGTCATGTGGGTTTATGCTTTTTGATGGCTAAAGAAAACCCATCTGGAGTTCATGTGAGGCTGAGCAAAGTCTGGCCAGATCTTACTCCGTGCTCTGCAGGGTGACAGTGGGTCATGGGTCCATGTTCCTACACAGGGGCATGCGTTTTAGACAGAGCACCATACCTGTGCTTGCAGACTGTGCCTGGGAGATCTGGGATTCAGGTAACAGCTCACACTGTGAGCAGGATGCGAGGGGTGGGGTGGTTTTGAGCCAGGCCGCTCTCCCCACCGGTCCCTCTGTAGCTCTCCATGAGTAAATAGCATGTGCTATAGCAGGGTCTGTTGTGACAGGATAAGTGGTGAGGGGTTTAAACTAAAAGAGGGAGATTCAGGCTGGATGTGAGGAAAAATTTCTTGCACTGAGAGCAGCAAAACACTGGCACAGGTCGCCCAGAAAGGTGGTGGATGCTCCATCCCTGGAGACATTCAAGGCCAGGCTGGATGTGGTTCTGGGCAACCTGACCTAGTTGAAGCTGTCCCTGCTCTTTGCAGGGGGTTGGACTGGATGAGCTTTAAAGGTCCCTTCCAACCCAAACTATTGCATGATTCTACGTGCTCTGAGGGGAACCAAGGGGCCTGAGTGCCTCACACCCTCTGGTTTTCTCCTTCCAGACTCAGGACTAACAGTGCCTCCAACAACAGGTAACCAGAAATTTTTGCCTACATACATCTTCTCCTTTGGGTACTCTGCCTCTGGGATGCTCTATCTCTGTCAGAGCACAAGACCCCAATGTGAGCTGCACTTGCAGACCTTGGGTAAAGTCCACGATGCTCAAGGAGATGTGGCATCACTTTGTTGTTTCTGAATGGCACTGGGGGGGTAGTTACTATATGCTGTCCATGGAGTTTGCCTGTGTGGTGGTTTGTATCCCAGTGCCTTATGACCATCAGCTACTGCATGGGTTAGACTACAGATTGTTTCTCTTCTCTGCTAGCCTTGTCGTTCTTTGCAGCCTCATCCTTTCAATAGACTTAACTTTCTGCTCAAACTGCAAATGTCTGTGCTGCTAACAAGCTGTTCTTGCTGGAGCTTGGGCATGGGAGTCTCTGTTGTTGTGTTTCGGGGTTGTCTTCCTTTACTTTGAATGGGATTTCATGAGGAGCATTTATTTTCCTCTAGCATCAACAGCTACGGTGATCCTGGCAACAATGACCACAAGTTGTAAGTTGAATTTTCCCCCCTTTACATGCTATGTTTAATGCAGGCATGAAATGTGACTTTCTAACTTTGTCACCCTCCTCTCCTTGGGATGTCCTTTGGAGGTTCCTGTTGAGATCTATTTGTATGTGAACTGTGGGGCTTGGGTTTCATTGTCCTGGGGTTCCCCTTGGAGAGGGGTGATTCCCAGCAGGATGTTCTTTTGGGGCAAAATGATGCTCACTTCCCTGCTGATGTCCCTCTGCAGTACAGGGTAATGCTAGCTCGACTCCCCATGTGTTGGGGACCACATTTAGATCCGGAGGGGTTAAGGGGTCTGATTATCTCCCGCCTCAGGTGTCCTATTGGTTGGCCAAGCCCAACTGATGGGGGTTACTGATCATGATGAGCACAAGCTGTGCTCTGGGCTGGGGGGACACAGGGATGAAGCTTTGGGGTGCAGCTGGGAGATATGGTCTCTTTGCAAAGGGCCATGTCCTTCTCTGATGGCTACTGGAGATGGGATTTCAAGAGCTCTCTGCCCATCCCCAGGCTCTGCTCCTCTCCACATGGCCTGGCTCCTGCGGTGGCTTCCTTCAGGAACTGTCCAGCTTAATCCAGAGCCCGAACTACCCCGACTCCTACTGTGCAGTTCCTTGACAACTACTCATATTCTGCTAGTGCAGGCACTGAAGATCAGAATTATAAAAGCTATTCAGTGTGTGTTTAGCATCTCCTGATCTGCATTCAGATGATATATGAACCTCATACAAAGACCACTGAGCTGGTAGAAGTCACTGCCTCTAAGTTTTAGACTTACAGATTCTGCATAGGCACATTCCAAAAACAACCTTAAATAAAGTGCACATCTATTTTTCTTCTGATTTTTTTTCTCTGCAGAATATAATTCTTGTGGTGGCTTGCTTTCTTCTCCATCTGGTACATTAGAGTCCATTTTACCCCAGAAATTATCCCAACAATGCCAACTGTGTTTGGGTAATAGAAGCAAAGAACAATTTCCGTGTCACACTCTCATTTAGAGATGTTCAGTAAGTAAAAATCTATTATTTGGGAAGATGAATGTATGGGACTGACACCTTGGATTTAGTAAGCGCAGAGCTGCTTGATTTAAAGGGATTTTTTCAAAGGTTTTAGTTCATCTGAGGTGAAAAATGTATTCCTTTTTGTTTATTTGGTCAACAGTGTGTCTGGCATCTAATGAGACAGAAACTGAGGGCTGTAATTTCTGTTCCAAAGATTTGATAGTCATAGTAGATAGTAAAAAGTACTCTTTTGCTGCAAACTCTTAATTTGGGTTAAAAAGATTTAAAAATATATATAATAATGAAAAAGAATTATATAACTAAATACCCACATTTCCTCCTCAGGATGGAAGGGGGCAGATGCCTGTCTGACTACGTGGAAGTCTACGATGGGGCACTCAATACTTCTCCTCTCCTTGGGAAATTTTGTTCTGGGTCTTTTCGCACATACACATCTTCCTCGAACATCCTGACTGTCCAATTTCACAGTAACTCTCGATACACATACAGAGGGTTTCAGGCTGACTATTATTCCACTCCAGCAGATCAGAGCACTAGTAAGTTCATGTTTAAAGCTTCTCAACTCTTTGCTAATTCACCAAGCGTTAACCTCGTTGTACGACTTCAATAAATTACCCATTCTGTATTACTTTAAGCTAGAACTGGAACATTTCATAGAGATGCAAATGTATGATTTGGATTCTGAACTCCTTCTGCAATATCAGCTGCTTCTGCAAAAGATATTGTTTATTTAACCTTTTTTTGGTCTCTTCAGTGAGCTTGTAACATATTTTCCTTGCTATCTCCTAGCACTGCTGTGTTTGCCAGACTACATGCGTGTAGCTGTGAGCAGATATTACCTTCAGTTACACGGCTACTCTGCTTGGAATCTCACCTTGAAGGACCCCTATTGCAAACCCAACATCACATCAAACTGTTATATTTGATACCATACGCTCGCTGTGGCACAGTGAGAGAGGTGAGGCTTCAAACGTTCCAACGAAGTGTGCAAATATGATGTGTGTAAAAATTCAAACCAAAGAATACACTCTGCAAACTGGCACAAATTGAAAGCTATGCTGGGCTCTGCAGGGGCTGGAAGTGTCCTGGTGATTATGGGTTGCCTCTCCTGAGGGATAAGGTTTATTATATGCCTGTTACTGCTGCCAGAGCATTCACTTATAGCCTGTTACTGATCAACTAAGGAATAAAGTGTGGAAAGAAGCAAATACTTTGTATTTTCAAGGTCCCAAGCTGTGTGTGGTGGTTAAAAAGGTCTCAAAGTTTTTACTAAATATGACCAATAGTGTTTTAAACTAGATTTCATCTTAAATGATGACTGCTGGACTTGAACCTTCAGGCATTTAATGTTCAAAGCATTGTGCAGGTTGTATTTTATTCAGTTATGTCTGCCTCTAATGTGAGTAGTTTTCTAGGCCCACATTGTAGCACTGAATATTAAAGGTAGATAAGTGATTCTTATCTTGAGAAATTGTGAGTTTCAGACTTATCTACAGCAGACTTTCTGGGAAATAATGCATTTACTGTGCCCATTGCTGTAAAGATACAGCGAAGTTTAGAATTCATAATAGGAAACCTGATGATATGAATTAATTTAGCATTTTATCTTATGCCAAACAGGGAAACAACGATACAATAACCTATTCCAACGTTATTAGAGGATCCTCTTCTGGTGCTGTAATTGCAAGGAATAAAGATCATCATCTGCACGTAAACTGCAACATGCTCCAGAGCACATGGGCCTGAACGATGTATGTTGTGGAGGACGATTTTGAAGTCAGTGAAACTCAGTATGGCAGGTACGATGTAAACCTTACATTCTATCATTATGCATCCTTCTCACGGCCAGTGAATGACTTCCTATACTATGTTAACCTGGATCAGAATTTGTTCCTTGAAGCTTACCTGCACAGCTCTGATCCAAACCTGGTGTTATTTGTGGACACCTGTGTGGCATCTCCCACTCCCCACAATTTTACAACAGCGACCCATGATATAATCAGGAATGGGTAAGCTTTTACACATTACAGTTACAGATAAAACTGCCTTTGAATCCCTGTATCTCCTTTTTTTTTTAACAGAATAGTGTGGATACAGCATACATAAATGTCATTATTGCCATCAATGCTTCTAACTAATTCATGAACATGGACATTTGGGAAAGGGGACGGATTGACCCAAACTATAACACACACTCTCCAGTTTAGAATGACAAACAGGCTAAATGGCTACGACCAGTTCATTGTGGATTGTTATTATTGAAGAGGTAGTGGCAACATATCTCCGGTAAGGGTGACTTCAACAAATCATACAAACCCTACGTATCTAGACACATGACAGGCTGAGGGGAGGTAGCATGGCTCAGTGTTGCCAAAGAAGGGTATCTTGCTTTTTCCAATTGCAGGTTTCTGGACCATTTTCCTCATGTTTAACATCCCTTTGTAAGTTATGTGTTATACTGCATGTAAATGACTAATTTCAGTGTATATTCATGGCATTTTTCTTTTTTCTTTTAGGTGTGCTCGAGATTCTACTTATGCTACATATTATTCACCCTACAGATACATGGTCCAGTTTAAATTCAGTGCCTTCCAGTTTGTTCATCACAATCCACTGGTTTACCTGCAGTGTGAAGTAGCGGTGTGCAGGGCCTATGACTATTCCTCCAGATGCTACCAAGGCTGTGTTACTAGGTCTAAGAGAGAGGCAAGCTCTGGCCAAGAGTGTGATTGTAGTTGCTGGCCCAATACAGCTGAAGGAAGCTGGTGCTGAGGATAGCAATGAGCGTGATGTTAAATAAAACTGTTTCCTTTGAAAGATAGCATCTTTAAATGCCAATTTAATCCTGAAAGAAACTATGCTGCTGGATCAGCAGCAGCTCTAGAATGTGCTTACTGACTCATGCCTGTTAAACCCACTTCGCATCAGTTGTCTTCATTTCTATGTAACAAAACACAGTCTGTTCTGTTCAGCCTGGAGAAGAGAAGGCTGCATGGAGACCTCATAGCAGCCTTCCAGTGTCTGAAGGGGGCCTATAGGGATGCTGGGGAGGGACTCTTCATTAGGGACTGTAGTGATAGGACAAGGGGTAATGGGTTAAAACTTAAACAGGGGAAGTTTAGATTGGATATAAGGAGGAAATTCTTTCCTGTTAGGGTGGTGAGGCACTGGAATGGGTTGCCCAGGGAGGTTGTGAATGCTCCATCCCTGGCAGTGTTCAAGGCCAGGTTGGATGAGGCCTTGGGTGATATGGTTTAGAGCGAGGTGTCCCTGCCCATGGCAGGGGGGTTGGAACTGGATGATCTTAAGGTGCTTTCCAATCCTAACTATTCTATCAGCTTCCTCCTCTCAAGATGGATGTCATGAATCTGCTGGTGGAAAATACAGCCCTGGTTGTGTGGAACCCAGATGGCCAGGTCTTGCTCTGCACCAGACATGAGTTTGTTTCTCACTTTTTTAGATGCAAATTAAAAACAAGGGTCCTTCCTTTCCATAGGACAGATGTGAGTACATAACAAAATGTGTGATAGCCAGTAATGGAGCCCACCTGAAAGGTACTCTGGTAAAACTCTGTGATATATTTGTCCTTCAGGCAAAGCTAGCACTCTTGAAACTGCCCTGTAATGTTTTCTGTTCCTACTGCAGTCAGTGCTAGCTGGCAAAATATTTGAATGCAAGTGTTTCTGTTGTACTCTCCTAAACCTTCTTTTAAGCCCTGTTTTCTATCACTTCCTATTTTCAGACATAGAGATGACTTTTTTTTTGTGCATAAAAATTGCATGGAATAATGAAATGTTTCAATGGAGAATGCTTTATGGAGCTAAAAATAACTATACGATCCCACACAGCTGAAAGAGAAAGATTACTCTTCTGATTTCATATGGATCCTCATGCACAATGTCTGAAGATTTTGTGACTAGCTCTTTAGGGAGGTTCTTCTTGCTATGAGCTATATGAGCTATTTTCAATTATGGCTGATTTCCAATCTAAATGATGTAATTACAAAATCAGGAAGACAGTGTTCCTAGTGTGATATATCTGTTGATTCCTCAAAGTGGCTCTGGATTTGAACTCAAAATTTTGCTTTCTTGAAAAGCATCATCTGTAATAAAGAATTTTTCCAAGCAGTATGTCACCCATATATGTGGGTGTCCTGCCAGAACATAGGAATGCCACATGCCTGGGTTCTGGAAAAACCCAGGAAGATCTTATTTCTGGTCCAGATCAGACATCAGCCCTGTGTAACAGCTTCTGCCTATTACTTACTGCCTGAGCCAAGAATGTCTCTAAAATTCATATGAATCCTTATTACACAATTACAGTGATGGTATAATTGTTATAGCCTAGCCTAGCACTTCCCTGTCAGCCAAAAGCAATTCTGGAAAACAACTTTAAAGTTCCATGTTTACTTTTGGGGGTTTGGTCATGGTGGGTTTTGGTTTTTTGCCTTTTTTCTTTGCCAATAGATAGAGTCAAACAAAGCTAGTATACCTCTTTTTAGGCAACACCATAGCTCTGCTTTATATCAGGGGAAGGTGCCAATTTATCTGCTTGCATTTCTGCAGGAAAAGAAGACAACTAGCAGCAATGACAAGTGATGACAAGGGTGATAGTGCCTTCCTGAGTGCACAAACATCCTGGCAGTTGCAGGATGGCAAAAGGGCTGTTGCTGCAGGAATGTCTGGTTGGACATTTCATCCTTAGTACTGCATTCCATGTGATCAAGGCTGGCCCTGGACTGTGGCCAAGGCACATGGAAATGGACTTCAACGGATGCTCTCAGGCCAGCTCCACCTGAGTCAACAGATCTTTGGTACCTTTATTGCAACATTTATGACTGTCAGAAGAATGGGAAGGCAACTAAGGAGGACTACAAGGAAGTGGTGAGGTTATGCAGGGAGTAAATTAGGAGGCCAGAAGCCCAACTTAATCTGGCTACTGCCATAGAAGACAATGAAAAATGTTTCTATAAAAATATTAACTGCAAAAGGAGGGCTAAGAAGAATCTTCTTCACTTATTATGTGTGTGGGAAAACAGTGATAAAGGATGACGAGAAGGCTGATGTGCTCTAATGCTTTCTTTGCCTCAGCCTTTAATAGTAAGATCAGTTGTTTTCAGGGTACACAGCACCTTGTGCTGGAAGAGAGGACTGAGGATCAGAATGAAGCCCTATAATCTAAAGGAAAATAGCGACCAGCTACACCATTAAAATACACAGCACTCTATGGGGAGGATGGAATCCATGGAAAGGTTCCTCAAAAGTAGCTAGCTGAAGTGCTCACCAACCCATTTCCCACCATTTATCAGCAGTCCTGGCTCACTGGGGAGGTCTCAGTTTGACTGGAGGTTAGCAAGTGTGACACCCATCTACAAGAAGGGCTAGAAGGAGGATCCAGAGAACTACAGGTCTGTCAGTCTGATCTTGGTGGCATGGAAGGTGATGGAGCAGATCATCTTGAGTGACATCATGTGGCATGTACGGGACAACCAGGTGATCAGGCCCAGTCAACAAGGGTTGGTCCTACTTGACCAGGCAGGTCCTACTTGACTAACCTGATCTCCTTCTATGACAAGATGACCCACTTAGTGGATGAGGGAAAGGCTGTGGATGTTGTCTACCTGGACTTTAGTAAAGCCTTTGACACCTGGAGAAGCTGGCTGCTTCAAAAATAGTACAGGTGTACTTTTTGCTGGGTAAAAAAGACAGCTGCATGGTCAAGCTGAAAAGCGGTGATGAATGGAGACAAACCCAGGTGGAGAAAGCAAGACTAACCTTCGTAGGTGTAATTGGAGCTGTATATGTTGTAAACTGAGCTCTTGTTGCAATCTCTTGCTTTGGAGGATGTTCAAAACTTCCCAAGGAAAAAAACCCTAGATCAGACTTCAATGCCTTTTGTCTTCTTACTTTACCACTATGATAATATAGTTGTGTATAACCACAGGAAATCTTTCCATGGAATATTTCTGAAAAAGAAGAAGCTTAAAGGATAACAGATTGAGGACTGAGGTGTATGAAAGTTTAATGATTTGTAAGTACTTAAGGTTTAAGATCAAAGCATGTGGAGTAGTTAAAGAGCTATAATAAATTTATGTTATCATGAAACTACACCCTACGCAATTGCAGTAAAACCCCAAATGTCTCCATAGTTTTCCCTTCTATTAAATACTGTGAGTGAATATAAAAGATATGAACATATAGTGATGTTTATTTACATTGTCGTATTTGCACTAAGCTTTGAAGTTTTTCCCACCCTTCCTTGGTTATGTTCGGTGAGTCTCCTCCATCTCTATATCAAATCTCAGATTGTAGATCAAATCGTGTAATCATTGAAGTGCTCTTAGTAAATACATCTACTCTTGTGAGGTTTTTCCAATCATTCTTTCTTTAAGTGTTTTGCTGATTCTCATTTGGAAAGGCTTGTGTTTATTTGTCTATCAAGGTTTCTTGTCAGATCAGTAAAAGCTTATATTATTACTATTCTTAGCCCAGGTTCTTAGTTCAAAACCACCAATCTATCTACACTGTAGGGTGGCAGCTACAAAGGGGACAGTGGAATAAATCAATGGCTATTGTCTTTTTCTTTTTTAAAAGATGACTCGTGCATCCTTATGACAAGAGGAGATTCATTGTGTTATTGTATTCACGTGAACCAAGAAACACAAAAGCCAAAGGCAGTTGCAGCACAGTGAAATCCTCAGCAAGAAGATAAAAGTTGTAGAGGAGATGAGACATATCAGATTCTTATAACTTGCAAACACAATGCAGAATCTTTTTAGAGCATTTTAAGCAACTTTATAGATCCTCACTGTTGTTGGACCATAGCTGTTGAGCTTATAATCACTTGAATAAAACTGAACGTCAATGAAAGCCATAAGAAAATATTTTATATCACCTTACTTCAAGGCAACTCCACCACCTTTCACCCTTTTCTTTTTTCTTTCTATTCTTTTTTTTTAGACAAATAAGCCAATCCAAAATTCCTCTTATCTAACAAAGAATTGTTTGCAAGGTCTTAAGTGACTGGGTTAGGCAGCTCAGACTTGCCTAGCCTTTTCAACAGGCTGTGATCTCTTGGGTAGTCAATGTGGCCAGTGCCTGCCCATGCACTGTGCTACAGCCAACTTCTAGACTCCCTTCTCTATACTAATTCTCAGTGATTTATGTAATGGCAAATATAGCCTGGGGTCTATTGGGCAGATTTTCTCACTTTCTCAGACTTACTCAGAGAATGCTGTTGTGCTTTCACGTTAAAGAACAAAACCTACTCCTTGACACTGGTATGGTCAAACCCCTGTGCCAGGCTCTGTAGAAAGGCATAGCACAGCCTGGTTTGGCCTTTGGGAGTTTTTCAATGTGGAGGTTCAAGTATGTTGCGCTCAAATGCACCTTTGTTGGGAAATTTATGAACTAAGTACATCAGTTGAACGGTAAGTACTTCAGCAAATATCTTCTGAATGGAGTTTGGGAAGTGTATTGGAGGCCTGGTCTTGCAGAGGTTAAGGCAAACATTTAACTGCCTCACTAATTTTTAAATCTTTTGGGAGATTATTCATAGCAGAAAAGTTAGGCACAAAGCTTATTTAAACATTTGCAAAGTTTTGTTTCTAAACAAATATTTAATTTTAACAACCTATCTTGGCTCCTTGTTAAATGTCAATACATAGCAATATCTAATATAGCGATATAGGTGTGAAATCGACTTAATCTAGTGTGGCAAAATCCACTAACTCCTTTTCCCTGTCTTTGATAATTGTTTGATAATGCCTAGTGGGAGGAGGAACAGGTGAGGTGCATTCAT